CCTTCTATATTTTGACAACATTTAGACGAAGTGAGTTAACAATATTAATTAGAAAACATATGTTAATCCGTGAACTTGATATAGAGTCAAATAGACCTAGTAATTTCGGCGTACTGAAACATATTTTGGTCTCTTGTGAGTTTATTGCTTATCTTTAGGGCACAAAACGTAACAGGTTTGTCAGGCAAACATTTGTTAACTAAATTCATGGATCTTTTCTCAACTATAGTGCTGTATCTCGTACGTACACTAACCTCAATTTCATGGACGCAAAACAAAATTTTCCGCTTTGTAAACAGATATAATTAAAATGTTCCTGCTCTTCATGAATGTTCTTTTATAGTGCAACCTGAACAAACAAGAAGCCTTTTTCCGCAGCGTTTAATAGCGTAGGAAACTCCTTGGATATCAACAAACGCCGAATTTCGCCCATTTCCGCCTATATTTTCTCCCAGTATATTGATCTAAACGGAACTCAATCCTAGTAAACAGCATTTCGCGCCTCCATTCAACCCGACGAACCAAAAAAACAACCTCAAATTTGTTTTAAATCCCCCAATCCCCAAATTTTCATCAGATATGTGATCTGCTGTATATTGTTTAAAATTATTCATTTTAAGCACTTCAGTAAAAGGAGATCTAAGTAGAGTTTAAAATCTAAACAAACCTGACCACAACAATTCATGTGTGCAAAGATCGTCTCAACGTGGCCGCCCCACTACCAGCTTATAGAACCAAGCAAGTCACTTTCCTCTTTCGATCTTCTGTAACTGAGCTGCAGCTCGTCACTCAAAACATTGTGTTCGGCTAGTGGCTCGCTCGTTACCTGAAAGGTTCGAGGACGGGGCTGTACAGAGGATAAAGAAAATTTTACCAGAGTGGGTATCCTCTTGTTAGAAGCTTACCACCACCAACGCGATTTTTACTATCTGAGATTGGTGTACTTCATGTTAAAGTGCTAAACACTGTACTTTTTAACTTGCACCAACACAGCAGACGAGATTACGAGTGAGGAACCTACTAACTCCTTTGGCGACAAAAGGAGGGGACATAAAACATCAAGTTCTCGAGAGATCGTTTAATAATGCTTCGATTTAAAGAGACCACTTCATGAGAAAACTTGTAAGTAGCAAGTAGACATGCGCCTGTAAAAGAGGGAGATACGGGTGGGTTAACTAACGCATAACAAAGTGATGCTATATGATGGTAAGTTAAAGGAGTTCTAAGGAGCTTGAAATGAAAGTTAGAAGAGGACGCCTGACGGTGGACACATTTTAGATCGTGTGCGGTTCATCTGGGTTTTTTAATGGTTTGTTGATGACGGCTCATGAGCTAGAAATCAGCCATACCGCTCTCCCTTGTTACCAACACTGCTGACGCGATTAAAAGTGGAGAAACCTCCTTACCCCTATTGCGACAAAAGCGTCAAAAGCATGTTTAAACATGTTTAAACATGCTTCGATTTCAAGAGACCGCTCTGTGAGAAAAGCATTATAAGTAGCAATTAGATGTGCGTGAAAGGAGGAAGAAGGATGAGTTAACTAACGTCCAGAAACGGTATGCTATTTGATTGTAAATTAAGGGGATGCTGATGAGTTTAAAAAAGGAAGTTAGTAGAGGATGCATAATGGTTGACAGGTTGAAGGTCTTGCGGGGGCCACCTGCGTTTGCGTATGACTGACTGATGAAGGCTAATAAGGCAGAAACAGTCATCCCGGTATCGCTTGTTTTGTTCTTTTGCATATAATAAAACAACCGCCCTTTTCCAAAGAAAATAATCTGAGTGCAAGCAAGTTGTAATGAAAACCACTGCACAGATCGCGACAGTGCCATGGTGCGCCCGAATAAAAAAATAGTTTCTCAGCGGGTACGATGCACGCATTTTTCGGTACGTCAAATGCTCTTACACATAACGGCATTGCACCATCATTAACAACTCACAAAAAAATTAGGATGCACCGAAGGCAACTTGCACCACCGATTGATTACAATAATTAAACTTAGAAAAAAGCACTTTTCCAGTCTAAAGTAAACACACCGTTCCGATTTCCAAATGACCGAATAGACATTGTTCAGAGGGTCGGCTGGACGGAGTTACTACTTTGCGGACTGCGTTGTCAAAAAATAGATTCTAAAAATCCTAAAGAGGGGGTTTGCATTTCGAGCGATATAATAATAAAAGAAAGAAGTTATTAAAAAACAACTCGTACTTGTGAATGTTTTAGGTGGTGACGCCAATTCGTCCTCAGACAAAACAAGAGGATGTTAAGCGACAGGACAGCTAGAGGGAGTGAGTTACGGTTCGTTTGTGGGCGGCGTGGGGACAGAAGGGAAAGGAAGGATGGTGGATCGGCTGATGTTAGGATAGCCGGGTAAGCGCCCGTTGACGTGTGATAAGGACGAAGGACAGTAAGTCTTGATCTTAAGTCTCCATAATGGTCGTTCAAGTCAACTTGACGGTTAATACTACCCGCAGTAGGATGCCAGGTCTTAATAAATTCTCGCGCCGGTTTTTTGTTAGCCATGGCGACGATTTCAAATAAATCTCTGGTCGCAGTGAAGACCACACAGCTTTTTGAAAACCAGACTACTTTAATTTCTCCTCACTGTCGGATATAAAGGACCAGTACACCGTACAGAAGTCCATGACTTACATCAAGCCACCAGCGGCGACTGCGAGGACGAAACAGTCTGATCCAGTAAGTGATGCATGACATCTCAGTTTCTGCATTTTTATCGTCTTTTGTTTGGCGAAACAGTTCGGCCTATGAAAGCCTCTGTTCCACCTGTCCTCTTATTTCCTTTTTAGGTAAAAAACGTAAATCGGAATCCTCTGGTAATCCAGGTAGTCAGACGGAGAAAGAGCGTTCACCGGGAGTGGTTTATTTGGTATCTGACGGTTTGGGATAGTTGACTTATCTATACTGAATACTATGGCTCTTGGTTCTCGCTATATCCCACTGCTTTCTTCCGCCTGCGTAGTCGGCCAATCATGGCTAAGTTGCTCTGTGTTTCTCGCATCTCGCTGTCGCTGTCCGCATTGACACCCTCTCCGTAAGTGGGGCGCCAGTGTTTGCTTGGTCCACCTGTACGTTGGCCATCTGTGTCGCGTCGGACTCCAAAACGTCAGATACCAAATAAACATTTCTCCTTTTGACTGATCGCTTGGCAATCGAATCTTAACTACTATTTATCCAGGTAGTCTTGTGACATACATTCGTACATTAGTAACCTGATGCTAAGATTAATCATAGCTCAGCTTTTTAATCTCCAGAGAAATTAATTTCTGATCGCGGTATAAATCAGT